GTTGTCATTGATGGGAAAATGAATTCCAGAGTTTATCAAGACATTTTGCAGGAAAACGTACGACCATCTGTCCGCCAACTGAAGCTCCGCAGAGGATGGGTGATGCAACAGGACAATGACCCAAAGCATACAAGTAATTCAACAAAAGAATGGCTGCAACAGCACAGAATATGCCTTCTGGATTGGCCCAGTCAGAGTCCTGACCTCAACCTGATTGAAATGCTGTGGCATGACCTTAAGAGAGCGATTCACACCAGACATCCCAAGAATATTGCTACACTGAAACAGTTTTGTGAAGAGGAGTGGTCCAAAATTACTCCAGATCGTTGTGCAGTTCTGATCTGCAACTACAGGAAACGTTTGGTTGAGGTTATTGCTGCCAAAGGAGGGTCAACCAGTTATTAAGTCCAAAGGTTCACATACTTTTTCCTCCATGCACTGTGAATGTTTACATGTTATGTGCAATTAAACCATGGCAACATCTAATGTTTGTGTAGTATTCTGTTCAGCAGACTGTGTTTTTCTATTGTTGTGACTTAGATGACGTTCAGAGCACATTTTATGCCCAATTCAGGCAAAACTCCACGTAATCCCAAGGGGTTCACATACTTTTTCTTGCAACTGTAGTAGTAAGAGCTACATGTGTGCCCTCCTGTTGGTGGTCAATGGGAGAACAAATGCACAGCATGGTTCAGTAAGAAAAGTGCGACAGTGGGAGGAAAATTCCTGGCATTATTTGTCATTGGAAGGAAAATCAACCTCCACCTTCATTGATCAGTGAAAAAAAACAAGCTGAATCACTGGTCAGAGAAAACTACCTGGTATCATTGGTCAGTGGGAGAAAAAATTCCTGGCATCAATGGTCATTGGCAGAAATAAAATGCCCTTATGCTAGGGGGTGGAAAAAGTGATTGTAAGGCACTAGAGACAGTCCCCGGGTTACAAACAAGGTTCTGTAGTTTTGTTCTTAAGTTGAATTTTGAATTGAAGTAAGTTGGAACAAGTAAATTTTTTAAGTGTAACTCCAGCCAAAAAAAATGATTTTTACGATTTTTGGATAGCATAGGGAAGGGTTAACACCACTGTAAGGTTAGTTTTGCTGTCTGTGCCACTTTCTGTCCCTGTGATAATTGGATTTTGAAAATTTTGGGTTGTAGTGGAAGGATTGGTGATAAACCTTCAGTGGAGACACCTTTTTCCCATGATAACATGTATGACTCATACTTAAAGAGAGAGGAAGTAAAGGAAATCTACCCCTAGGAAGATAAATTCACTCCTGTAAGTGTTATCATGGGAAAAAGGTGTCTCCACTGAAGGTTTATCACCAATCCTTGTTTCCACTACAACCCAAAATTTTCAAAATCCAATTATGTGATGGATGTACGTAACTTAGGGACTGCCTGTACAGGGACTTTCTGCTACCCTCCTGCATAAACAGAATTGCTCATGTAACTGAAACATTCCTGTTTATGGCCTAATCTGGTCTTGAGGACATCTGAAAACAGATCATGCAGCCCCATCTGATCATCTTCACATGTCTGTGTTAAGACCTATGTGTGTTCTTCAGTAGTTATTCTATAATTGTAGAATACTGATTGAGCCATATCACAGATTCCAAAGTCACACAGTGTACTGCAAGATTTTCATTATGATAAAACCCTACATACAGACTCTCCACTTCTGATGCATTTTCCACATTCTGACAAAGAAACTCCACCACCTTTTTATGGATAAAGATTCCTGTTTACATTTGAAACATCTTCCACCAGCTTATTAAAATTTTCCCTTTATCACAACTGTGCAGAAAGACCTGGACCTGTGTTCAATAATGAGTATCTTTGTAACTGCCAAGAAACAAAGCTGACTAGTAAATGCTAGTTTAAACATATAAAAATGAATTATTATTTCCATTAAAGAAGACCTATCACTAGAGGAACACAAAACCTGTTAACCCCCCAGGGAATCCTTAGCACAGAGCACTTGTCTACATCTTAAACTGTGAAGAGGTTGCTGAGCAGTGGTGTCCCGCAGCTAGCCCACCCACCTGCCTTTCTAGCCAACAACACAGATCAACTGAGATGGGTATCTGAGTAACAGGACGAGGAGAGGACAAGGCAGTGTGCATGGAGTCCACATAGCTCCCTTCTCATAAGCTGCTAGACAGAACTCTGCTGTGCTTTTTAGCACTGTCTCCGCTGCTGTTTAGTGTGTGAAGTCTGAACCTGCAGCCTGGGCACAGAAAGAGTGAAAACTGTGAAAGATTGCAGAAAAGGGCTTTTGTTCAAAAAAACACAAGCTCACAATAGCACACAGCCTAGTAGAATACCTGGATTGTGTTGCTGTCAGATTGTGTCTTTTGTGGATGAAGGTAATTTTCCCCAGCTGCAAGCATTCACCACACAAACTGACAATTTCTACCAACTACCCTGAATACAAGGCTTCAGTGTAAGCTACAGTGGAGAGATAAGGAGACATAGCACTGCAGAAAGTGGAGGAGGCAAGGCCCAGTGTCGGTTGTAACTTCCCCCTTGGAAATGCCCATATTTTAGGAATAACAAAAAAGAAAGACATACTGTAAATTACTTCATTTCTACTTTTTGGATTTTAATGGTTGCATGTACTATGTGCACAGAGGCTCCTGTTTTTTTTTTTCTCCTGGTGATAGATTTTCTTTAAGCCCAGACTTCAGGTCATTCCCCTCCACTCTCCAAAATACGTGTGCACATAGCAAGTGCAACCAGCATGGCACCTTAGAGCACTGGCTGATATCCCAGACTTCCCTTGTGGCTTTAATTCATGTGATGTTATGGTCACATGATCAGAAACATGAATGGGGGAATCAGGTTTTCTCGCTCTTATGTACTTGCACAGGTTAGATACAGGAATTGGGAACAAGCATTCCAGCACCGACACGTGGACATGATGTGGGTCCACTTGACCCTGGGATATGGTTCAAATTCCGAGTCAGTCCCAAAGAAATCATGACAGTTGGGAGGTATGCTCTAGTTTTAAATCTGACTGTTTTTTGTTGCTAACACAGACAGAAACTTTATTTTAGACACTTTGGGGTTGACTTACGAAAAATGGAGAGAGCAAAATTTGCTCCATAGAAAGCAGTCAGCTTCCAGGTTTTTTTTTCGTCAAAGCCTAATTGAATAAGCGAGTTAGAAACTGATTGGCTACCACATACAGCTGCACCTGATTTTGCAGTCTCTGGTTTTAATACCAACCCTTTTGATAGAACAGCCTAGAGTACTTTTAAACAGATCAGAAACAATACCATGTATATTTTCTAACAATCTGTTGAATGGTCTGGTTATATAATTCACTTGAATGGTGAATAAGCATTTTATTTCCATTACACAGACAGGTATTTGTTCTACAAGTGAGTAAACAAATTAATGACTAGAAGTCATTTCTAAAACATTCTTAATTACAACTAGATCAATTAGAGGAAAATGCTGTATACATTGATTTCATAGGTCCAACAGCTAGTAGCTAAATGCTTAGTCAGATAAAACATGAAGTATTGATGACATCTTAAATATTAATTACTGGGCTCTTTATTTGCTGCAAGGGGATCATTTCACTTGGTGTTCATCTCACGTCAAACAGAAAGGTAAACTGATCAGGTAATTAATTTATATTTGAAGTTTTATAGATTAGCCAAAGGATATTACATTTACTGCACAGCTACACCATATACTGTATGTAATTAATATGCCATGAGTGATCCAAAAGCTTGCATCTGTTTCCAAATATATTTAAAGGTTTTACCCAGAATCGTTACTATTCTCGCATAGGGCATTATTACAAGTACTGTACATTGGAATTAAGCAAATTGTGTTATTTAACAACCAAAACAACATAAACAAAGACATGTCCCAGCAGTCCTAACCTTATGTCCAAATTATTGGACTAATAATAATAATTATTGGACTGGATATATCCAAACAAATAATACTACCACTACATTTTAAGCGTGTACCTGTCATATCTGCAGAGGGTCTATGCTGGCTACATTATTAAAATGCTGACACCTATCAATACATCAAGACAAAAAATATCAGTTACTTTCTACAGTCCTTGTGCTAATATGAAAATGCTGAATATTTTTGGTTATGCCAAGGGCTGGTCTGCCCCCAGCTACCTATCATAGTGATGGGCTATTAGGTTCAGGAAGAAAGAGGAGACATGAAAGTCATTGACACTACAAATAATTGTTACCATTTGCATACAAAAATGCTCTATGACTGAGGATTCATTTGGCCCTTGATAAGACATCTGGCGGCATTGTATTTTGTAGCAAATACAGAACATTTGGCAGGTGCACTTTAAACATATTTGTATTGACATGTTGTTTATTGAGTTTGAAATACAATAGTCTCCTGACCCCTCAGGCATAATAATATTAGCATAATGTTCTCAAATGCGCAGCAGCTTTAAAATCTGTTTGACACTTAATTCCTTAAAGTGGTCTAATGTAAGTACAGTAGTGCACCAAATACAGACTTTCCCTCAGCTCTTGTTCTACTAACAATTCAAAATTTCCCCATCACATTCTGTAAGAAAATGGTCCCCAGGTGTAAAAAAAGGTGAATCTCTCCATCAGAGACACAAACAGGAACAAGTCAAAAGTTTTAATCCTTCCACATTCTATCCAAAAAACAAAAAAAAAAACAAAAAACAAATTAAAGACCAAATTTGGTTAACCACTAGCCTACAGGGCACTTATACCCCCTTCCTGGCCAGGCCAATTTCCAGCTTTAAGCGCTGTCACACTTTGAATGACAATTGCACGGTCATGCAACACTGTACCCATATGAAATTTTTATAATTTTTTGTGACAGATAGAGCTTTATTTTGGTGGTATTTAATCACCTCTGAGTTTTTAATGTTTTTCTTAAACAAACCAATAACCACTGAAAATTTTGAAAAAAAAAAAGATTTCTCTTAATTTTTGTTATAAAGTTTTGTAAATAAGTGATTTTTCTCCTTCATTGATGTGCGCTAATGAGGCTGTAGTGATGGGCACTGATCGGCTTCACTGATGGACACTGATAGGTGGCACTGATGGGCACTGATGAGGAGGCACTGGTAGGTGGCACTGATGGGCATTGACAGGCATCACTGATGGGCACAGAAAGGCAGCACTCATATATGGCACTGATAGGCGGCACTGACTGGCAATGTTAGGTGGCACTGACTGGCACTGTTAGGCAGCACTGACAGGCACTGATATGCGGCACTGATGCACTGATAGGCGGCACTGACTGGCACTGATAGGCGGCACTGACTGGCACTGATTGGCAGCACTGATAAGTGGCACTGATTGGCAGCATTGATAGGTGGCACTGACTGGCAGCACTGATGGGTGACACTGAAAGGCAGCTCAGATGGGCACTGATATGTGGCATTGATGTGCACTGGTAGGCACTGATATGTGGCACTGATGGGCACTGGCAGGTGGCATGGATGAGCACTGACAGCTGGCACTGATGGACACTGACAGGTGGCACTGCTGGGGCTACACAGATCATCAGGGCACACTGATCATCAGTGCTCTGATAATCTGTGTACATGTCCCCTCCGAGGAATGCCGATTATCGGCTCTCCTCTCCTCACGAGCTGTCAGCGTGAGAGCTCGTGAGGAGAACATACATGTGATCAGCTGTGATTGAACACAGCTGATCACATGACCAAGCCGACATCTTCGCCTCTTTCCATTGATCGGTGATCCGCTTTTTCCGAGGGACACGGCGCACCGCCGATCGTCGCGCGCTCCTGGAGGCGCGCATGCGCGGTTAGAATGGGAGGACGTCCTCCCAGAACGAGAGAACCGCCTTGCGCCCGTCATTGTACTATATGTTATACTGTGTACATTGTACTATATGTTAAAGTGGTTGTAAACATCAGACATGACATATGAACAAAGCATATCACTATAGTTTAAAATCTGGTGCAACTCTGCATAGAAACCAACCAGCTTCCAAGTTTATATGCCAAAGCTTAGTTGAACAAGCTGAAGTTAGAAGTGGATTGGCTTCCTGTCTGCTGCATCCTTCCTCTGCTATAAGCATAAGTCACCTATGACAAAGTTTCCTGACACCAAGAGAAAAATGGTGACGGGTAGGGACCTCCAGCAGATTGACAGCTTCAGCTGTGTTTGTGTGAGCTGTGTGAAGGGGGGTGTGTCTCTTCCCTCCAGTCACTTCTCAGAGCTCTCCTCACTGAGCTCTGGAGAGCGTAATTTCAGCTCTCAGCCCCCCTTTTTCTGAACTCTCAGACAAGCTTTTTAAATTCTGTACTTTGAATTGATGTAGAGAAGAGAAGACTGCAGCTAGATAGGTACAACTTATGAAGGAAGATTTGATTAATCTCTGTGTATCACCTGAGGCCAGTCACTTCACTGGGTATATGTAAAGGTTTACAACCACTAACATTTGTAAGCTGTTACAGCAAACATTTTAAAAGGTTTAAACCATATGAATAAAAGCTGTCAGCACCCCCTAACAGTGTTTATATGGTTTGCACCAAACCCTTGTAACTTTCTAAATTTTTTGGACAGCTTGGTCTGCATGCAAATATTAAGAAACATATTAATAAAGGCATGTGAAATAAACGAAGGAATTCATACAATGAATATTATCATTGCAGGTATTAATCACATCAAGTTACCAGAATACAATATTTTTTGGCTACATTGGTCCTTCCAAAGTAACCATGTTACAAACCTAGTCAACAGAAACAGAACCTACCTTCAGGGTACTTCAAACTGCCCACACAAATGAGCAGTAGAGCCAGAGATGGGAACAATTGTATTTAGATACATATCCCAATCTTTTCTGTAAAATTCAAGCTTTGTCCATGCCTCTCACTTCTCCCTATTGAACCTGTCTCCTGGAAGCTAAGAAATACCATCTTTCTACTTTGAAAAGCTGTGGAAGGAGGCAGATAAACAGGTAAAGTGTATGTAAGAGAATTTAATTCATCACTTTGTATCACCTGAGGCTAGCCACTTCAGTGGACTTACTAATGAAAGGGTTTATTATTACTTCAAGGTAAAGTTCACTGTAATAATATTAATTCCAGCATTTGTTGTAAAGATGTTGTAATAAGTAAATACTGTATGTTTGAATGATGTAACATCACTGATCTGCATCTTTCCTCACTGATCTGCATCTTATCTCATCTTCACATGAAGCTGCAGAAAGCCCAGTTGAACTTGTCCTTGAAGTCAAGGAAAGGCATCTGGCACAGATATTTAATACAGAAGAAGGATGGGGAGTAATGGAAGTAGATAAGCTGTAGGAAAATCCTTTTATACCTACTGCCCAAAATCAAACAGGGTAAACTATTCTCTACGTTTTACTGATGGTTGATGTGCTCATTTAGGCTGACAAGTGACTATACATGCAAAAAAATTAATCTTTGGGTCATAAGGTCAAACTTTCCCAACGTTATAGCAGGTTAATATCACTTGGCCACTTTAAACACAAATAAGAGAGAGCAGAGATCTTTAACAAATGCCACTTAACACATCGAAGCCTCTCTTTCAATAACTTCTTGAAATGAAAAAGTATACACTTTGATTATTTTATATTTATATTTTAAATATATTACACACTCTATTTTTAATGTTACAAATTATTTTGTAAAGTACATTAAAGTATATTTGACATAGTTGATTAGAGCCAATTAGGCTTGTGCTGTTCATCCCCATTACAATCGTATCCCCGATGGGAACAGAAGTGTGACAGTCTTTTCCTGTTCACTCTTATTGCTGTCAGGTAAATTGTAAAAACCTGTCCAATATGTTGGTTCATTATTTTATGGTCAAAAATTCTGTCTAGTGGATAATTAGTTTGACAGTGTTTTCTCCCAGCTAAGGATCTAGCATAAGCTTTCATTCACATCGCTAGCTAGAAAGTTATATCTTTTCATCCTAGAAGTCTTGTTATAGTTTCAAGATCTTGTATGTCTTTAATTCACTCCATATAAAAACATACCAATACCCTCCATTTATCTACTGAACAATTTCTATAACTATTTACCTAATATCCCTTATCTGCCTATAGGGATCTAAATTATATACATTTTTTTTTACTTGTGGATTGGGTTGTGCAACACAATGTACCTCAAATTGGTGTTGCAACACCAATGTGCCCTATTAGAATATGACAACAATTTCTATTATGGTACATATATATACAGTATATACTTTTACTTGTTCCTACTCAGCAGATAATGTCTCATGCATTTCCTGAACCATTGGAAGATGGAAATTGGAAAAGGTTAAATCCTTCACTTTCTACCTAGAAGAAAAGACAATCCCCAAGAGGATGAAAATCATAGTGGATCATGCTCAAAGATGGGTAAATGTTTTTCTTTTTTTTTAAATTGGCTATAGTTACCCTTAGCTTAGAAAACACCTGGTGACCAAATTGTCATCAAATTGCATAGAGCGATCTCTGTTCTCTTGCTTAATATAAGCAGCAAATAAGTAAGTAGATAAAGTACCGGTAGATGCGTCCATCCCTGTGTGCTAAAGGAATTAAGTTAAGTTAATTTATAAACGTTTATAGCTAATTTTCTTATCTTTTTCTTCTTTGTCATTTAACTGGGACAGTTAAAATCATTCCTTAATGAAAGGATTAAAAGCTACTGTATATAAATAAAATGTATAAACCGAGATTATTGTTCCCATTAAGCCTAAAGAAAAAAAAAGTCTTGTAGTAGTTACATAAAACCTAAAAAAGTAATAAGGACTGTGAAAATATTAACAAAATAGTGAGAAGAAATATCAAGTCAAATATCTTAAACATCCTAGTAAACTAACCCTTGAAACTAAGATGGGCAATGAAGATCCTAAATCATACACCACTCCCCCTTGCATTGATCTCTGCCCTTCTGACTGTCACAGAAAAGGGCAGAAAAGTCTTTCATGAGAATGGAAAGATGCCGGTATTCAACTGGAGAATACTGGGTTGCAGTGGATTGGTGGAAACAAAGCTATTGTTTAACCACTTGAGCTCCAGAGGATTTACCCCCCTTAATGACCAGGCCTCTTTTTGCTACTCGGCGCTGCACTAATTCAACTGATAATTGCACGGTCATGCAATTCTGCACCCAAACAAAATTTACGTCCTTTTTTTCTCACAAATAGAGCTTTCTTTCGGTGTAAATTGACCACCTGTGCGCTTTTTATTTTTCACGCTATAAACAAAAAAATGCCAAAAATTTTGAAGAAAAACAATATTTTTTACTTTCAGCTATAAAAAATATATAGTAAACTCAAAGTTGGTTATAAATTTAGGCCAACATGTATTCTGCTACATGTTTTTGGTAAAAAAAATCCCAATAAGTGTATATTGATTGCTTTGGGTGGAAGTTTATAGCGTCTACAAACTATGGTATAAATACTGCAATTTACTGCTATACAGCGCTGTGCTAGTTTAACGGACAATTGCGCGGTCATGCAATACGGTACATAAATGAAATTTACATCCTTTTTTTCCCCACAAATTGAGCTTTCTTTTGGTGGTATTTGATCACCTGTGCGGTTTTTATTTTTTGCGCTATAAAAAAAAAAAAGGCTGACAATTTTGAGGGAAAAAAAAAAACAATATTTTGGACTTTTTGCTATAAAACATGTCCAGTAAAAAAAAATGCAAAAATCAAATTTAGTCATAAATTTCTGCCAAAATGCATTCTGCGACATGTGTTTGCTAAAAAAAACCCCCCAATAAATTAATTGGTTTACATTAAAGTTATATCGTTTACAAATAGCGGGAAAGATACTGGGATTTTTAGTTTTTTTTTATACTAATAATGGCGGCGATCAGCGAACTATGGCGGCGATCAGGGACTTATGGCAGTGACCAGCGACTTATGGCGGGACTGCGGTGGACATTCTGACATTGGGGGGTACTGACTTGGGGTCACTGACATCCCCAAAAACACTAATACAGTGATCAGTGCAAAAAAAAAAAAACACTGACACTGTACTAATGGCAATGGGGAGGAAGGGGTTAACTTTATTTTGCAGGGAAGGGTTATAGGAGTGAGGGGAGTGTTTTACTAGGGGGCGGGGGGTGTGTCTGTGTGCTGGGCGGGACAAGGCTGATCGAGAAAGAGAAACTCTTCTTTCTCGATCAGCTCATCCTCGAGCTGAGAGGGAAGTGACAGACAGCACAGCTACTGCAGCTGTGCTGTCTGTCACTGTTTGCCGCTGATTGCCGCGAGATTGCCGCTAAGGAGCGGCTGTGACCCGGCGACTGACATCTGCGGCGGTGATCCGCAGGGCAGATAGGGCGGCGGCGCGCCTCGCGAACGCCCCCTATTTGTTTACAAAACACACGTTTTAAAACGTGGTTTTGCCTGCGAGTGCCGCCCTGCCCCCGTAAATGTACAGTGGCTGGGCGGCATGTAGTTAA